TTACCTGTGGCGCCATCGCTCCAGCTCCATCTTCGTGGTACCTGCATCAAGGCGCCAACTTCACAGGTTATTACTGGACACAGAGAGAGAGAGTTCTTCTTCTTCCTCTTCTAAGTCCACCATCTCTTCTCACCCTCTCGCCACCTGACTTCTCAGACTACGACAGAGAGAGAAAGAGTTGTGACTTGAGACTTGACGACATTGGATCCAGACTGGACCTTGGGATTTTGTTGTGTCTCAGCGAAAGGTACAAGCTTTGAGGCGTGAAACACAGGGTATGTGCGCAAGTGACCAGGGGTTCGAATCACATATGAGGGACCATACAGTTCACTACCCACGATATCCAAGACTTCCCGAGGATCGAAGTATTGAGGCATTAGTTTCCTAGAGATGCCGAATACCTGTACTAGCTCACAAGACTTAACCCAAACACGTTCCCCTACCTGAAATGTGGATTGTCGTTGATGTTTGTTCTCAGAAGCAATCATTGCTTCTTGAGATTTCTTGATGTGCAGCTTGCTGCAGCAACTTCTCATACTGGACACCAAATTATATGGTTCTAGGAGTTGCAGCAGATCGGTTTTCAGGCAGGAGGAAGTCTAGAGCAGATCTAGGCTTCCATCCCAGATGCAGCTGATTCGGACTGACGCCGGCGGTGTTGTGCACAGCATTGTTGTACAAGTTGGCAATGAGAGGTAACTTCTCCTCCCAGTCATTTTGGCTGGGCTTAATATAATGCCTCAGCAGATGCTGCAGCTCGGTTTATCTGTTCAGCTTGCCCGTTGGCTTGGAGATGATTCCCATAAGTCATTTGGAGTTAGTTGTCCATCTGTTCTGCAGCCTTCTTCCATATTTCACTGGTGAAACGGACATCTTTGTCACTAACGATAGTCATTGACAGTCCAAAGTCATCCACCCAGTTATCCATAAATAACTTGATGACGTGCTCAGTCCTTGCGGTCTCGGATATGGCAATCAGTCCATCGTACTTAGTAAACCTATCAACTATGACAAAGATATGCCTCTTGCGACTCTTGCTGGTCACGAGGGTATCCATGAAATCCATGGAGACACTGTGTCCCGGACCAGTAGGAATGGGCAAGGGCTCGAGTAACCCAAACGGAGCTTGACTTACTGCTCGTCCCGCTAACAGACTTGAGAAGTCTAAACGTACTGTTTGGCTTCATCTAGCATACCACGCCACCAAAATCGTTGGACCCGATTTGCACTCAAGTTTGCGTAGGATGTCCATTGTGACTTCCACCAATGACCGAGTTACATCGTCAGATAAGTCAAACTCAGTTATTAGCGCACCTAGGTAGTCTGCCCTTCGTGATAGTGCATCAACAACCTTGTTGTACTCTCCCTTCACATAATCTAGTTTGAAGTCATATGGGTCTATGACCTCAATCCAGCGTTTAAGTGCGTCAGAGAGGACAAGTCGTGTCTTGATCCACTTGAGTGTCTAATGGTTGGTTCTCAAGTAGAAGAACCTTCCCAACAGATACTGTTTCCAGTGGACAAGTGCCTTGTAGAGGGCGTAGAGTTCCCTTTCGTAGGTGGATTTCGCCAACTTCTTTGATGGCATTTTCTTACTTATGTACTTAACTTCTTCCCTTCCTGTTGAGCTAGCACTGTGCCAATGCCATATTGGCTTGCGTTAGTGGTCACTACAAATGGCCTCTCTAGATTGTGAACCATGAGAATCTCATGGTGCATGAGAGCATGCTTCAAACTCTTGAAAGCAACTTCACACTCGTCGGTCCATTCCCATGGTGTGTCAAGGCGAGTTAGATAAGTCAAAGGGGAGGTCACAGTGCTATAGTTCTTTACAAAATTACGGTCGGTCATCCCTAAGAAAGATCGAACCTTGGTCACAGGCTGATGTCGTGGCCAGTCACGAATGCTAGCCACCTTGGCATCTTCGGGCCTTATCCATTCCGCGGATATCTCATGTCCCAAGTAGAAGATTTTTTAGTGCAACCGAACTCGCATTTCTCTAAGTTAATCTTATACTTGTGTTGTCGAAGGAGTGATAGTACAGTTTCTAGATGTTGAGCATGCTCCTCGACTGTTCTACTAAAGATAAGTATGTCGTCGAGGTACACGATGATGAACTTATCTAAGTAATCATGAAATATCCTATTCATGGCATGTTGGAGTGTACCTGGCGCATTGCAAAGGCCAAAGGGAATCACCACAAACTCATGCAGACCGTACCTGGTTTGA